TATTCTTGTTCATTACGACCTTCGCATTTTCTGCTTCTACTAAATAAGGTACTTCCACGATATCTCTAAAAAAAAAATCACTATATCGTGATCAAAAACACTCTCCAAACGTAATGAAAACATAGTTTTATCATCAAAATCTTTATATTATTATTAAGAGGAAGGATCAAAGTATTTTTTATTATTTTATTAAGTTTTTTACTCATTTTTAAAACGTTCGAAATTTTGATTAAAAAAACTTGTTTTTCTTGCGTCGGCGGTTGTACTAATTTTCAGCAAAGCAAATTTTCGCCTCTTTCATTGCGGTGACAGACACGTTAATTTGGAAATTCTTGCAAAAATAAAATAATTCTCGGAGTTTAACAAAATTTGCAGGACTTATATATAAATGAATGAAATTATTTTTTAAAATGTTTTATTAGAAAATGTTGGTAAAAATATTTTGTTTTTACGTGTGTTTCTCCCCATACTTAAATTTATGAAAGCTTCGGAAATTAATCGAGACAATTTTTAGGGGCCATATTAGTTAAAAGCAGAATTTTTGAAAGAATTTAAATCAGCAATTTTATTTTGCAAAATAGAACCCCGTGTTGCCGAAAATCTGTTCTGAATTGAAAAATAAAAAAAAAGCAATAAAAATAATCGCTTTAATTGCTTTATGAATAATATATATTAAAGACAATATTGTCTGAAGAAGAAAAAATCGATGAAAAATGAATTTTTTATTTTAATTTTATTTCATTTTTTACAATTTTTTACAACTTAATTGAATACATTATAAAGTTTGGGATCTTTTAAAGTTCAATTTCAATGAGGTAATTTTTAAGGAATTTTTAGGGAATATTGTTATTAAGTAAAACTATATTTGCTAATCATATATTTTAAAGCTTATTTCAATTGCAAGACCCCGACTATTTTTAAAAGAATTTCAATGTCTTATTATATATTCATATCGATGCAGAATGTCTGAAATATGGATGTACAAACCGACAAATCTATTAATAAAGAGTCACGTGTTTTAAGAGTTGTCTCCCAAAACAAACTCTAAAATTGTCGTTTACTACACCATAGATAATCATGATTACGTTCGGTGGTCAATCCACCGTCAATAAATCGATTAACAAACACATCAGAAAAACAAGACCCAGAGGTTAGGAAATGCTTGTATACAATACAATATTTTATTTTTACAAGATTTTTAAATCGGAAAAATGAGTTTTGTTTACAATTGTCTAAAAATTCGCTGACGTGATCATAGTTTACTGAAAAAAAATGCAACTCTATTCCAGTCAATATAATTTCTGTCTGAAATAAACCAAAGAATTTTGCTTACCGGATAGAGTAAATTTAATCCTTTAGTTTTCATTTAAAGCTTTGGGAAAGCTTTTTTCATTTAAAAAAAATAATTTTAAACCTTACGTATACCGAATTAGCGGAGGTACCTATAAAGTGTGTTCTTTATTATGTATCTCAGTTTGTTAATATCTAGTTATCTAACTTGCTAACTACCTATAGAACGATCTCTCTCAGTCTATTCATGCTTTCTATCGTTGTTTTTTTTTCTCCGTTTTTTTTCTTGTTATCATTACTTCTATACAGACATTCTTTATTTAAAAGTTTTTTGTTACTAAAACCATACAAAAAAGACCGGATGAATAAATAAAATAATGTTTATAGCTGATTGGTTGGGTCTGTTTTCAGCGCAAGTCTTTCGACCATAAACCATAAATGACAAGAGTTGAAAGAATATGTCAAATTGAGCAAAGAATTTTTCCTGTCGTTTCTTCCTCGACACACGCTTCAATGAAATCCGGATTCCAACCCCAGGAAAGCTATTCATTTTGGATACAAGCCGGCGACAGATTTGTCGGCCGAGGCGAGAAAAAAGAAGAGATTTAATCATTTAGTGACTGAGTGCATATTTTTTTTCACTTTATCCATTTTCAATCCTTTTGATTTTAATGCTCTTTTACCTTCCTTCGTTCCTTCTTTATTTATTTATGTTTATTTATTTATTTCCTTCATTAAAAAAAAAATCTTTCTTCAAATGATCGTTTTCCTTTTTCTTTTTCCTGATTGTTTTTCCTAATTGTATTGTTTATATTCGTTTTCTTGAGTTTTTTTATTCACTTAGTTAAAGATTTGAATATATTTTCCTTCAACTAATTCAGGTGTCAGTAAAATGATCATTAACAAAAAAATATTACGTCATCAAAATTGCAAACATTTCTGAGAGAAAGTTGTTTCTTTTCAGAAACAAGAGGTCGGTTAGCCGAGTTTGAATCCAAGTTGAGTTCATTTTCGCGCAAATAATTTTGGGGAAGGTATGAATACATCTATTCTTCCTCCTATGGGTTAAATAGTAAAGCAAACCGAACTATCTAGTCATCATTGGTAACCAGTGTAGGAGAATTCTGAATTTAAAATCGTGTACAGTTCTGATGAAGTACATAGTATACAGCGACGGGAAAGATTATAAAGTGACAATTTTATTATGATTGTAGATTCTATGACCCCGACTTGGGTCCATGTAGTAGGTACGTAGATAGATTTGTCTTCAAGGTCTGTAACAAATAGAAATGAAAAGGTCATCGATAAGGTCATTAATGAACAGAATAATTCTTGACGTTTCAAAAGAGGCGTTCCATTTAGCAACATACCAATTTTGCATGAGGGTTCTTAGAAAAGGATAAAATACTGGCTTTTGTAATTGGCTATTATTCTGACAACTAATAATTCTGAAAAGAATTGTAAAAGAACTGAAAAAGCTTATTCTAAGAACAGAAGAGTTTAAAATTTAATTTCTAATTATTTTCATATTTCGCCTTATGAAGTCGCCATTTCCCTAATAAACTCAAAATATTATACTGAAATCTTACCAATTTTACTTAAAAAATTGTTTATTTGTTTATATGTGTAATATTTATAAAATATTTTGAAACCAAGTTAAATATAGACAATAACATTCCGATTTCGACACGTTTATGTGTTTATTATCTTAACACATAAAAAACGGTACATCGTAGCGAGTTGTTGTTAGGGTCATACCGTGAAAAACTATTTGAATTTTAGCTGAAGGTGAACATCACGAATTGATTCGATTTACAAATACACTGCATTCTTTAACTGCAATATTGGCAAGAAGATTCGTCACCGGTACATAACGATAATTGACAGCGAAAGGAATAAATGAATTATCACTTGAGCAAACCACTGTCCATAAATTTACAAACACATGTTACACGCGTTGACAGCCTTGACATTTACCTTATTTGTTTCTTCATGCATATGGTAAAAATATACATTAAATGTATGCTATATTTATAAGTTAAAATGCTCAATATCAGGGATAGATCGTAAGTAATAATAAATAGCTACGAATAACTACATTAGCATCCACAATTATTTCTACTCAATAACCTCTAGAATAATTTGAAACATAACCGTTACCGCCTACGCAGTAACCGCTAGGATAATAAAATAGACCTTTATACCCATAATGCACCAATAATTATATACAAATTATCGTCCATAGGTATGCTGTAGCATACCTATGGACGATAATGGGTATATCCCCATTCATATAAATACAATAGTACATACTGTATGTTGGTCTACAGTTGGACATTTGTCTCCAGCTGTGCTGGTCAAACTCTCTGCCACCGGACAGAAAGGATCCCCAGAAGAGGCTATGTCGAAGGGCAGAGTCTCGTCTCGGAAAACATCTACCCTACCCCGTTTTATACGGGGTCTACGGGGAAATTTTGATTGAGCTTACGGGCTCGGATACCCTACATTAAACTGGGCCTTGTGCCACATCTGGCCGCGTGGGTTGTCTCGGAAAAGAACTACTCGACCCCGTTTTATACGGGAAATCTTTGGCCGAGCCTATGCGCTCGGATACCCTACATTAAATTCGATCTTGTGCCACATCTGACCGCTTGGGGCGGTTGGTAGATATCCTGCTGTTCGAGATTCATTGTGAAATTCACATGACTCCCTTCTAGCAGTTGGCTACTACTTCTACGCGCCGCTGGCGAATCTTATATATGCGAATCTTATACGTGTTGTTCAATGTTGTAAATATTATCGCTCATTACCAACCTTCGTGTGATTCTTCTATTCAGTAACCTTCCCTAGGTTACAACAGATATATAGTCAAGGCCCAAAAAGAAAACACGTAGCCCGACAATTACGTTTAGGCATGAAACAGACTGTCGCCATTGGGTGTTGACCTCAATGTTCCCTTATATATATATATATATATATATATATATGTATGTATGTATGTATGTATATATATATGGTCATTTAGGAGTACACTTGCCGTTAGAAAACTGTCATGTAATACTGATTGTTTTAAAAATATTTTAGAGATTAGTATCTCAGTTATGAGGAGAAGGCAGCAGGAAATCACTCAACTATCTATCCAAAGAACTTAAGGCGATTAACAGACAATGAAGAAAAAGGAGTTTGCGGAGAGCTGTGATCCTCTATTTCTTGCAGGAATGTGGCATTAAAATAATTATATCTCAGAAAACATTTTAAAACTTTAGGAAAACTATCGGAAAAGTGTTTATGTTTAGGAGACTAATAAGAAAAAAGAAAGAAAATATGAAAAATGAAAGAAAGAAAGAAAGAAAGAAAGAAAGAAAGAAAGAAATCCAAAAGTGAGACAGAAATAAATAAATAGGTAGACAGAACTTGGACAGAAATGATATATAGAAGCAGTAAAGCAAATAAATAGATTGATTCGTTTTCTAAGGTTTTATAAACATTTACAGGTTAATTAAACTCAGAAAATATTTTTTAGATTGTAAGAATATTTATAAGATAATAATGATTTAGTGATATAAGTCTTAATATTTAACCCATGGAAGAGGGGGATTCACGCTTTTCCCAATGGTATTTGTATGTAAGTGAATACAACGAACCCAACTGGAATTGGAATTCGGCCCCCGAGCCATTACCCATTACTGGATCCGCACCTCCAAGCTTAAAGCACATGGTATACCTGAGCGGTCACCCATCAAAGTACTGACCAGGCTCAATTTTGCTTAACATCGGAGATCGTACAGGAACCGGTGTTTCAACGTGATATGGCCGTAAACCCAAATAAACAGATATGATGAGAGTGCAGCAGATATATTTGAACCAATCGTAGCGACATGCTACTTTGTTATTTTGGTTTCAGCAAACGGACTCTTTTAATTTGACCTTGAACAGTTTGTTCGAGTTAATTAAAAAGATGATTGGGTACTATCCGGACCAGCAGCCACCAGCGACCAGCAGCCGCCAGCAACGATCACCAACGACCAACTGACTTCTGCCGACCGCGTCTTCTACCAATCCACCCGGCAATTCAAGTTCCACTCCCTGCTGCCCATCACCGTGATTTCAAACGCCTCCTCTCGGCTAATTCTGCCAGATAGTACCAGCTCAACTCGCCGAGTGTCTATCGACCTTCGCTGACTACTTATCGTCCTTTGATACTTCCCAAGCGGTTTCGTCGACATATTCAGGTTATCAACAATCGTCTGTCCTGAGCTATGACTGCCAGCTAGTACCAGCCCAATACACCATCCGTTTATCAACGTTCGCCACCAGTCAAGTTGCACCGGTCTTCATCAACTGTCAACGCATCTAAGACAAGAGCTAACTATCAGCACGGCCATCCAGGGTATTTGAAATATCTCGATTCTTCGACTATATTTTCTTTTTTCTGCCAAGAATAAATTTTGGCGTAATTCATTTAAACTCCTTGTTCTGGTTATCCTTGCCTTGGCCTGTGTCACTTTTTCAATTTTAATATTTGCGGGGTTTGTCTATCATCGACATTCGGACCCCACAAAAAAACAATTATTCGGAACGGAATAGACAGGGATTTGAACCAACTTGGATAGAGAAATATGTACACACTAATCCCTTTATATATATTTATATATATATATATATATATATATATATATATATATATATATATATATAGAGAGAGAGAGAGAGAGAGAGAGAGATAATATTAGTGGTAAATATACATACATATGCAAAATATATAAAATATATATACATACATGCATACACATACATATACATTTTATATAAAAAAAGATTCCAAGAGGAAAGAATCCAGGTAGAACTCAATGTACAGGACAGAGTAAGGCTTAAACTCTAATATTCCATGGTCATAATTTATTCCATAGGAATCGTAAATACGATCCAATTCATCAGACCTACAAATTCAAAAAGAAAACAGAAAAAACAACTCCAGAAATAAAAAATAATATTTACGATTCCAATGGAATAAATTATGACCATGGAATATTAATGTTTAAGCCTTTTTATTATATATATACAGTTCCGCCATATGCGAACATCTTTTAAATAGCAGAGATTGTGCCGCCAAATTTAGTGCTGACTGGTTCACCGCGTTGGCCCGGTCACACTCTGTATTTCACCTGAAGGTTCTGGAGGCACTTTACATCGGGTCCCGCAAGCCTTCTTTGTGCAAACAGCGTGAGTGTTTGTTGGGACTCGCTGTCATCTGCCTCTAGTTCCTTCTTGCATATACAAACATATATATATATATATATATATATATATATATATATATATATATATATATATATATGTGTGTAATTTTTTTTTCCACCTATTCACATTGTACATTTTCTCTGTTTTAATATTGAATCTCCCGTGGAAGTTTGACGAGCGGGAGCGAAACCAATTGCTTCCCCCCTTGTTGTTGAGTTTTTTTTTGTTTTTTTATTATTTAATATTGTTTTAATATGTCTTGTAATATTAAATTTTATACTTTTATTTCGATCATATATATATATATATATAGGAAAATATCATATATAGTTTCCTATATTTCAATTTTCCAATATATATATATATATATATATATATATATATATATAAATAAGAGAAAGAACAAATTGAGTAAAAATCCATAGTTCGTAGCATTTACTTTTTAAAAAAGTGCTCAGTACAAAGTAGAGCAAAATATTATTATTATACTTTTATTATAAGAGATTATAATAAAAACATTTTTAAATCGCTACACAAAAAGCTTTCATGTTTCAATACTATGATTATACTTCCTCAGGTGATGTGTCGGTAACTGGTTATAAAATGATTTTGGGGGGATATTTAAAGACAAATAGTTATCTCTTTTCATTAATTTAGAGGGACATAAGGCCAGAAATTAAAAATAGACTAGTGGGTATGTCTCGATTAACCAATTAAATGTCAGATCTACGCTAAATAAAAAAGTAAGTTTAGAGGCTGGAGGTGGGTGAGTTATTTTTTCATGTCACGATAAACCGGCATACAGACGTGGCATCATTGACGACTGCGAAGAATATGGCAGATATAATATGTTCTATTTGTTTAAGTTGTGGGATTGGTAAATCAGACGTAAAGTTATGAGAAAAAAATTATTTTTAATTTTTTATATTCAGGAAGATTCTTAAAGGGGTCTGTAGATAAAATTAAAAATGTAGAACATCTATATGCAATATTAATAATACTAAATAGACGGCAATATATATCGATATTAAAACTGATTAAACAAAATAAAGTAATTACCCGTAGAGGGTGGACCATAAATCTGAATACCCACTATCATCAATAGGTATGCTACCACAATATCAATTGAGCATTATATGTGGAAGGTCTATTTTATTATCCTAACGGTCAATGAGTGGGCGGTAACGGTTATGTTTCAAATGATACTAGAGGTTATTGAGTAGAAATAGTTGTGGATGCTAATGTAGTTAAAAATGTGGAACATCTATATACGATGTCAATAATACTAAATAGATGGAATACGTATCAATATTTAAGCTAAACAAACAAAATAAGGTAATTACCCATAGAGGGTGGACCATTATATACTAATAAATTATGTCTATAAAAATGGTAATACGTAATTGTTATATCTCGTGCAAGATATAATAAAGAAAGTAACCCGAGTGTTGGTTTTCAATAATAGGTTTATAATCGGATGTAGGTGTGTCAAGTACAGAGACAGAGTCGGGAGTATGCTAACCTCAATAGGTGTTAACAAACTAAGACTTGACGACTGTCCGCTGTGGTCGTACTTAATCGGCAACCAGTCCGCCCATTATCGTGAATGGGGAAATTGGGTTATATCATCACAACAGTAATTATTATTTTTAAAAATTTTAGCTATATTTTAAGGTAAAACATAAACTGTGTCGGCAGATTACAGTTAATTCACTCCTTTGATTTAAAAGAGCTTTTTTTAGCAAATTTGATTATTTGTAATTTTTCTTGTAAGCATAGTAAACACGGTTCATTTAAATATTTACAAGTTCTAGTTTTTTTTTAATATTTTCCATTTTACCATAGGTTTTTTTTTTTTTACTTCTTTTAAATTTAAAAAAATATTTAGAAAGGGAAGTCCTATTTCTGTACGCGTTGTTGGTGAAAGATAATATATAGTTTTAAAGGAAGTTTTGGTACTCCCGATATAATTTTTTAATGAGAGAGAGAGAGAGAGAGAGATATTAATTGACGTCGATGTATAAATAAAAATACGCTGCTAAAATACGAATGCTTAATTAAAAAGAGAATGTAACAAACACGGGAAGTGGTGGGTGTGAGCAGCGGCAGGTACGCATTTGGGCACAGATTTACGTTCATGTGACCATCTAACAGGTGGAATCAGATGTGTGGACTTAATGAAAACAAGAGAAACTGTGCAAATGCCGTGTATATGTTTTCCGAGGTGTGTTGACAAGTGTAAACATTTTTGAGTTATTTCTCATCAGAACGACAGCAAACAGAGAGTAATTGTCAGTGTGATGTTGTGTGCGTGTGTGTGCGTGTGTGTGCGTGTGTGTATAAAATATGCATTGCTTGTTGGTGGAAGTGAGGCGGAAATTGTTTGTGCAGTATTCTGCGTGAATTAATAAGTAATTTTCTCTTGCTAAAGAAACACATCACATGAGTCTGTTTACGTAACAGGTTACAGAGTCTTAAAAAGTTTCCAGAAAAAAAAAAAAAACGCATTTTTGTTTAATTATATTTTTTTTTACTTTTTCAGGTGAAGTGTTATTAAGTTAATTTTTCTTTCTTTTTTTTTTTTTGAAGCTTGTCTTTTCATTTATTATGTAATATCTTTTTTAAATATATGTATAGTTTATTTCAATATGTTTTGTTTTTTGTCTAGGATAACTTCCTTTTTCAAAGCTATACGCACACACAGAGAAATATATATATATATATATATATATATATATATATATATATATATATATATATATACTTTTTTTACCTCGCCTATAAATTCTATTCTCTTTATCTATCATAATTGTTCCATTTTATTTACTTACTGGCTTCATTTTTTCTTTTTAATGTTTTCTTTTTTTATAATTTATCTATGAAGTTTTTTTTCTAATAAGTTTTGATCTATGTCTCATTTACTAGCTTTTATTTGTCCTTACTGCTTCTTTTTTCATGTTTACTAGGTTTTAAATGCCGATCCTCTGCCAGTAAGTGTTTCTACAATATCTCATCTATGAAAAAAATCATTCTTGAGAAAAGCAATCATCGACTTACCTTGTAAAAAAAATAGAGTCAATCTAAATGCTTGAAAACATGTCATCCAAAATGAAATCTGAATTTCAATCGAACAATAATAAAAATGCATTAAGCAAATTTTCTGAAGCTGAATTAAAGTCACGAGTGGAAAGGTTATTATATTATTATATTATTATAGCAGAACTTATGTGTTTTATGTACTCCTTAATACTACAAAATAAGAATAAATAAGGTTTATTTGTGTTATGTTATGCAAGTTAGTTGTTTGTATATTGTATTTCTGCATTGCCTTTTCAGTGCCATGTGCTCCAGTTTTGTGAAACAAAATATTATGGAAATCTCTGTTCACACATAAAAATCGCGAATTGCAGGGAAAAGTCAAATTCAAATCCGTGTCGCCAAACTAATTGTCCTTTTCTACATTCGTATCTTCCTAAGCTAAAAAAGAAACTCTATGCACCACGAAATGAGTCAGTGAATGCAGCCGAACTGATCTTTTAATCAAATCGACTAAATGCAGAATAATAGTCCAAATAATT